ATGAAGCAACAGACAAAGGATTAATCTCAAAAATATACAAGCAACTCCTCCAGCTCAACTCCAGAAAAATAAATGACCCAATCAAAAAATGGGCCAAAGAACTGAACAGACATTTCTCCAAGGAAGACATACAGATGGCTAACAAACACATGAAAAGATGCTCAACATCACTCATTATCAGAGAAATGCAAATCAAAACCACAATGAGGTACCATTACACACCAGTCAGGATGGCTGCTATCCAAAAGTCTACAAGCAATAAATGCTGGAGAGGGTGTGGAGAAAAGGGAACCCTCTTACACTGTTGGTGGGAATGCAAATTAGTACAGCCACTATGGAAAACAGTGTGGAGATTTCTTAAAAAGCTGGAAATAGAACTGCCATATGACCCAGCAATCCCACTTCTGGGCATACACACCGAGGAAACCAGATCTGAAAGAGACACGTGTACCCCAATGTTCATCGCAGCACTGTTTATAATAGCCAGGACATGGAAGCAACCTAGATGCCCATCAGCAGATGAATGGATGAGGAAGCTGTGGTACATATACACCATGGAATATTACTCAGCCATTAAAAAGAATTCATTTGAATCAGTTCTAATGAGATGGATGAAACTGGAGCCCATTATACAGAGCGAAGTAAGCCAGAAAGATAAAGACCATTACAGTATACTAACACATATACATGGAATTTAGAAAGATGGTAACAACAACCCTATGTGCAAAACAGAAAAAGAGACTCCTATGTATAGAACAGACTTGTGGACTCTGGGAGAAGGCGAGGGTGGGATGTTTCAAGAGAACAGCATTGAAACACGTATATTATCTAAGGTGAAACAGTTCACCAGCCCAGGTTGGGTGCATGAGACAAGTGCTCGGGCCTGGTGCACTGGGAAGACCCAGAGGAATTGGGTGGAGAGGGAGGTGGGAGGGGGGACCGGGATGGGGAATACATGTTAAAAAAAAAAAAAAAAAAGATACACTATGGTTGTGATAAAAAAAATAAATAAATAAATTTAAAAAAAAAAAAAAAAAAAGAAAACAATGTGTCCCAACAGTAGTTCATTCTAAATAAGGGAATGTCAACTTTTTTACCTTCTGTTATTCTTTTGTATAATTGGAAATTGTTTAAGGGTATGATATTTCCAAAAACAATAGAGTCACATTTAAAAATAAGTCTGAGGGAATTTCTTTTGTAATATGAATACTCTTCTCCATTTTTCCATTTTCAAGTTCTGCTTTTTTGGGGGGGGTGGTTATTAAAAGCAAAGCATAATTATTTTGGTAATTCATGACAAATATATTTAAGTCCCTTGGTGGCTCAGATGGTACAAAATCTGCCTGCAACACAGAAGACCTGGGTTTGATCCCTGGGTTGGGAAGATACCCTGGAGAATGGAGTGGCTACCCACTCCAGTATTCTTGCCTGGAGAATTCCATGGACAGAGAAGCCATGGGTTTGCAAAGAGTTGGACATGACTAAGTGACTAACACATTTTATATATTAAAAAAAAAAAAGAACAAGAAATGCACATTACTACAGCTAGTCCCTAGGTGATGACACCACAGATTACTCTTTGTTCTTTCACCTACTTTCTGTATTTAAACTTTTTGTTTATAATGAAAATTGTGGAACTTCCCTGGCAGTCCAGTGGCTAAGACTCCACATCTGCAATGGAGGGGCCCCAGGTTTGGCTCCTGGTTAGGGAACTATATTCCATACTCCACAACTAAGAGTTTGCATGCCACAACTAAAGATCTCACATGGGAATGTACATTAATACAGCCACTATGGAAGACAGTATGGAGAGCCCTTAAAAACTAGGAATAAAACCACCATATGACCCAGTAATCCCACTCCTAGGCATACACCCTGAAAAAACCAAAACTGAAAAAGACACATGTATTCCCTTGTTCACTGCAGCACTATTTGCAATAGCCAAGACATGGAAGCAACCTATATGTCCATCAACAGATGAATGGATAAAGAAGTTGCAGGATAGATATACAATGGAATACTACTCAGCCATAAAAAGGAACACATCTGAGTCAGTTCTAATGAGGTAGATGAATCTAGAGCCTATTATACAGAGTGAAGTAAGTCAGAAAGAGAAAAACAAATATTGTGTGTTAACACATACATATGGAATCTGCAAGGATGGCGCTGACGAATCTGTTTGCGGAGCAGCATTGGAGGCACAGACATAGAGAGCAGACTTACAGATAAGGGGAGGGGAGGGGAGGGGGAGGGGGAGATAAATGGGGAGAGCAGCGTGGATGTATATACACTAGCACATGTGAATACACAGCCAGTAGGAATCCACTGTAAGACTCAGGGGACCCAAACTGGGCCCCCTAATGACTTAGAGGGGTGGGGATGGGCAGGAGGGAGGAGGGAGACTCAAGAGGGAGGGAACATGTGGATGTCTACGCTTAATTCATGTCAGTGTATGACAGAAATCAAGCCAATATTGTAAAGCAATCATTAATCAACTAAAAACAGGTAAATATTAAAAAAAAAAATAAAGATCCCACATGCCACAATCAAGCAAAAAAATCCCGCATGTCACAAAAAGATTAAAGATCCTGTGTGCTGCAACTAAGACCCAGTGCAAAAAATAAATATTTTTTATGGAAAAAATTTACTAAAATGTAAAATATTTTTACAAAGAATTTTCCTTGACACTTGCCACTTTCTTTTCAAGCCTTTTGCTCCCTTGTTACCTGACAGTGATTGTCATGACATAAACAAACTTGTCTTAAGGAGGTAAATTCATTTATGCTAATAGTGGTGAAGTAGCAATGTGCAGAGATTAAAAACATGATATTCAAGAATTACTGATGGCTGAAGATGAAAGATATGATTCTCACTATGGAAGTGTGGGTTTAGTTACCTGTCTCTACTTATGCAGTATCAATAAAATGATCTTCTAATATTGAAGCTAGCATCTGCCCATGATTGCTAAAACTAAGGGTCCTCACAGACCAATGAGGGTAGAAAGACAATTTCCCATGTATCAGGAATAAGGGGAGGGCCCAATTTCACCCAGGATGAAATAAAACTATCCAAAAAAGGAAGTACTGGCAGAGTAGCTTACCTGGAAAAAGCAATTGCACCAAACTAACTCATCCATACCCCCAATGCTGACCAAAGCACCTGCACTTCAGGAAACAAAGTACTTCTCCATGGGTCAAACCTGATATGGACATAGTTAGAAGGATGAGCACATAGGCTTGAGCTCTGGGTGGCTGAGACAAGATAGACAGTGATAAGTGGACTGGAATACTAAGAAGATAATAAGAGAACCTGAAGAAAACCAAAGTAAAACAATACAACAAATACCCAAAACTAACTCAAGAAAGCTTTCCTGAAATAAAAAACCATTTCAAGCTACATACTGAAAGAATACATCATATACCTGAAAATCTGAACCCAGAACAATCAATATTAAGGCATATACTATAGAATACTGGAAAAAGTCTCTGGGCATATAGGCAAAAAAGCTGATGTTTCTTGAAGGAAAATAAGTTAAAAATCAGTCTTTTTGAAAGCTACACTTTATGCTACATATCTGTAACATAATAAGTAAAACAGATAAAAAAGGGGGAAAACATTTAAGATAAACAAAATAGAAAATTCAAGTGAAGGATTTTTATATCCAGCAAAACTAAATTTCAAGTGTAAAGCACACAAATAAACTGTATTAGTAATAAAAAGAAGTCAGGGAATATTATTTGCATGAGCACTTCCTAAGGAATATTATCTGGAGTTTAATTTGTGCTTCAATAAGAACAGTAATTAGAATACAGTGAACCATATCAAATATGTTTAAGGATGTAAAATCACAATAATATTTTTTTTAAACTAACCACATTTTGAGATAAAGGATAGAAAATTTCTTATTTTGAGAACTGGTAAACAAAGGAAAAAAAAAATCAAACATTTATCCAACCTTTTGAAAAGAAATGAATCACTAAGTAACCATATAAAGGTAAATATTTCTTTACAAAAACATTTCAATAAATAAATTAACAAGAAATAATAGAATTACAATAGCACTATTTTGCAACCACAAATTAATATCCTAGGCAATGAGCACCAACAGCTGCAAGCAACACACACAAAGAAAAAAAGGGAGAGTCAGACATTACAAGCCTCTGACGAAAGCATACAACATCTACAGTTTGCCAAGGGCATAAAACTAAATCTGATCAAGCCTCTAGATACAACAGCCAACATGCAGGAAGTATATAAGAGAGAGGAGCATGCCCAGTTGTATCAAAAGTATGGAATCAGCAAATTTCAGACATGAAAAATCTCTATGAGTCATAGGAATATCATTTTCCATGGGTCATGGGTTTTCAAAGGATAACTTGTAAGGGAAATGAAGTGATAGAGAACCTGTTAATTAAAAGAAGCCAACTTTAAGGACTTCCCTGGCAGTTGAGTGGTTAAGACTCCACACTTACACTGCATGAAATGTGAGTTCGATCCCAGGTCAGGGAACTCAGATTCCACATGCCACACTGCACAACCAAAAATTTAAAAAAAAAAAAAAAAAAAAGGAGTTGATTTTACTATCCTGGGGAAGAGTGCTCTCCTTCAAAGGTTCATTCTAGAGGATCCTGTTCAGTGAAGGGGAACTGTCAGTTACAGATCACAATTTTGAGTCCTTCTACCTACAAATTCCCCTTTAGTCCTTACAACAAAAGGACTAAAAAACTTTTTTTTTTTTTGAGGAAGCAGAGGCATTTATTCCTTCCTGCCTCCTCTGTGGGAAGCCGGGGTCCACCAGGCCAGCACCCCTGGGTGCTCAATGTCTGCCAATATCTGCCTGCAGGTCTTGGCAGTAGCTCTGGGGTAGCCTGTAGTAGACTTGGGTCTTCTCCATGGCGCTGCTGCCAGCAGCACTGCCCACATAGATGCATAGTGGCCCTGGCCAGGGCTGTGTTCCACTGTGACCGTGGCCCAGCGGCAGGCTGTCAGCAGCTGGGCCACTATTCCAGCAGGACTCTGACCAGAGGCCCAACCTGCAGCTGGAAGGACACAGGTTGCCAGAGGTCCTGGCACAGCTCCAGCATATCTGTGAGCAGCTGTTCCCTGTAGCCACTGCCCAGCACTTCCTCGGGCCAGCCTGGTGCCTCTGCCACATGGGGGAATACCTCGGCCACAGTTGCAAGCAGCTCCCTGCCAGTCACGTAGCCAGGGACCATGAAACTCCCATGGGAGACTGTGGCCCCAAGCCCCACAGGCCTAGACAGGTGGCCAAGGGCGCATAGGGTGGCCAGCGTGGCCAGGGATGGCTGCAGGGTGGTGGGCTCTGCTGTGTGCACATGGAGGCCCCAGTGTCCAGGGCGCATGGCCAGCTGCTGCAGGCAGGACTCAAGCATCAGGGCATGGCCATCTGGGGCATAGACGATGGGCACAGGGTCCCCAGCTGCAGGCTCCTGAAGGCCCACATCCAGCAGGATCACGCCTTCACAGTCTGGGAGCCGCACCGTTGCTGTGCTGGATGTCAGGAACCAGCCACTGCATGCTCAGACCCTCATCTCCAGGGTTTTGGAGAGCAGGGATCAGGCTGCCCCTGGTCTAGTATCTTTGCTTCTGTGAGGTATTCATGGTGAGCTGCTTGAATTGAGACAGGAGAGGCTCAAAGAAGTCATAGCAGACTTGGTGGGTGGCGGTGTTGTCCCGGATATAGAGGAAGTCATCCACTGTCACAGGGTCTGAGGCAGACTGCCGCATTGTCAGGCTGTACCTGTCAGATTGGCCCAGCAGCCAGCTGAAGTGGGGCCAGGCGTCCCTGGCCATGACAAGCTACACAGAGCAGGTGACCTTCTGTGGCACTGCTCCCATCAGCTCCTGCATCTTCTCCACCATGGTCTGGGTGTATATCCCATTTGGGAACAAGGGCAGGGAGATGGTAGTCCAGCCTGGAGACAGGGTTGTCTCAAGATACTTCTCCTGGACTAAGGCCAGGAACTGTGGGGCATTAACCTCTATTGGTTTGACCATGTTGGGACCCCTCAGGATGTCGGCATTGATCCACACAGGCCTTTAAACTTTCCCCTCCTCTGTCAGCCACCGCAGGAGGCCCAGGGTGGGGTCCACAGCCTTGATGCTCTTGAAATCTAGTTTGTTGCCCTTCTCGGAAGAGGCCAGCACAGCCTCCAGCCACTGCTCTCGGGTGTTGTCACTGTAGACGGCTGGGGGGTGCGCCGTGACAGGGACCCCTGTCTCGCTGACTGTGCGGAGTCCTTCTATTGTGACGTCTGATTCCAAGACCATGACACTGCTGCTGAGGGCAGCCTGCATTTGCTCTTTGCTATTGGCAGCGTGGTACGAGGAGACCAGCAGGCCGTCCCTTTAGGTGATCTGACCCAAACTTAGCAGGCAGCCTAGCATCAGAGCGGCAGGTCCCATCCTGTTCATAGCTGGCAGGGCGTTGCACTTCTGCAGTGAGAAGCCCACGATCATTGCAATGGCAAACACTAGAACCGTACTGACACCGCCAACAATGGCCCACTTCCAGCACCCCCTTCTTGTTGGCCATGGCGACCCTCTGAGGGGAAGACCCCTCATAGGGCAGAGTCTCCTGAGGCTCTGAGAGCTGGGATCCAGAGCAACTAAGATACATTTTAACCCCATTTCACAGATAAAGATATGGAAGATAAGAGAGACTAACCAAAGTGTAAAATCTCTTAAGTAGAAGAGCAAAAATGTATAACGAGCTTTGACCTGAAAACCATTTATCTTATCTTTTGCATCAACATAGGCTTCCCAGGTGGTTCAAGTGGTAAAGAATCTGCCTGCCAATGCAGGAGACGCAGGTTCCATCCCTGGGTCAAGAATATCCCCTGGAGTAGGAAATGGCAACCCACTCCAGTATACTTGCCTGGGAAATTCTGTGAACAGAGGAGACTGGTGGGCTACAGGTTTGCCATGGGGTGGCAAACAAGTCAGACATGACTTAGCAACCAAACAGCAACAACAGTGCTAATAAAAAAGAAAAGAAAACAATCACATTCGCAGTAATGTCAAGATTAAATGCTTAGGGCTAAATTTAACAAAAAAAGGCATAAGACCCATATACTGTATTTAAGTCAAATCATTATGTTGAACACCTTAAACTTATACAATGCTGTGTATCACTTATATCTCAATGAAGCTGGAAGAAAAAACTATAAAATATTGCTAAGAGAAATTAAAGAAGATTAAAAGGAGAGACATTTCATACTCGTGGATTAGAAGACTTACTCTTCTTAATTGGCAATTCTTCCCCATGATCAACAGATTCAGTGCAAGCGAACCAAAATCCCAGCTGCCTTTTTTGTAGAAATTGATAATCTGATCCTAAAACTCATATAAAAATTCAAAAGACCCAGAACGGAACTGCTTCAAACAATTTTGAAAAAAAAACAAAGTTGGACTTACAGTTATCAATTTCAAAATAAATTCTAAACCTACAGAAATCAAGACAGTGTACTGGCATGAATATAGATATATTGGACTTCCCTGGTGGTTCAGTGGCTAGCAATCTGCCTGTCAATGCAGGGGACATGGCTTTAATACCTGGTCCAGGAAGATTCCACATATTAAGCCCTCGAGCCACAACTTCTAAAGTCCTAACCCTAGAGCCCCGTGTTCCACACAAGAAAAGCCACTGCAATGAGATGCCCACACCCCACAACTAGAGAGTAGCCCCGCTCGCCACAGCTATAGAAAACTGGTGTGTAGCAAGAAAGACCTGAAACAGCCAAATAAAATTTTTTTACTGGATATATAAATCAATGGAACAGAATTGAGAGTCCAAAACTCTTAACATTTATAGTCAGTTGATTTTCAAAAAAGGTGCCAGAATAATTAATAATAACTAATAATTAATAATAATTCTAATAAGAATATTAGTTTCAACAAATGCTGCTGGAACAATTGAATATTAACAAGCAAAAAAGATGAATTTAGATCCTCACTTCACACCATTTATTAAAAAATAGCTCAAAATGAATTAAAGATCTAAATGTAAGAGCTAAAACTTCTAAAATTTTTAGAAGAAACCAGGAGAAAACCCTCATGATCTTGGGCTAGTCAAAAAGTTCTTAGATATCACACAAAAGCAACAATCCATAAAAGAAAAATTTGATAAACTGCTTAAACTGGAATCCTTGTTCACTGTTGGTGGGGATGTAAAATGATATAGCCATTATGGAAAACACTGTAACAGTTCCTCAAAAAATAAAAAACAGTGTACTGCATGACACAGCAATTCCACTTCTGGGTATACATCCAGAAGAACTGAAAGTAGGGTCCCCAAAAGATATTTGTACACCATGTTCATAGCAGCACAAACTCAGGTGTCCATCAGTGAGTGAACGGATAAGAAAATGTAGTATATACGTGCAATGAAATATTATTTCTGAAAGGAAGGACCCCAGGAGCTGCTGAACTATGGTTCTGGCTCAATCTCCCACGAGACTACAGTAAAGATGTCAGGCAGGCTACGGTCCTCTGAAGAGTTTACAGGACAGGAGGATCCCCTTCCAACAGGGCCCCTTCACAGCTGGATTCCACAGAGCAAACAACCCAAGACAGAGCGGTTGAAGCTATACTGTGACCCAGTCTTGGAAGTCATATACCATCACTTCTGGCATATTCTATTCATCAGCAGCAAGTCAGGCAATACAACCTACACTTCAGGGTAGGGGAATAAAACTCTACATTTTGAAGGAGGAAGATTTGTACCCAGATTTTAGAACCACCACAGAAGTCAGATTTACTGAGTGAGCACCATTTCTGTAGAGTATGGAGGGGTAATGCAGTAAATGGCGAGGCCTTCTGACCTAGAACAGTCAAAAGTTTAAGCAGTATAGAATAAATATACTGATTTTAAAAATACAACTGATTTTAAAAGTGGAGAATTATCCAGAAGTGCTGAGGGCTGATATGATGTTGATAATGACATTAATCTACTGGAATGATAAGTAAATCTTTGGAAAATGGAAAGCAAATGGTATCAGATTGAAAGAGAACACTCAGTTCAATTCAGTCACTCAGTCATGTCTGACTCTTGTGACCCCATGGACTACACGCCAGGCTTCTCTATCACCAATTCCTGGAGTTTGCTCAAACTCACGTCCATCGAGTCATTGATGCCACCCAACCATCTCATCCTCTGTCATCCCCTACTCCTTTTGCCTCCAATCTCTCCCAGCAACAGGTCTTTTCTAATGAGTTGACTCTGCATCAGGTGGCCAGAGTATTGGAGTTTCAGCTTCAGCATCAGTCCTTCCAATGAATATGCAGGACTGATTTCCTTTAGGATGGACTGGTTGGACCCCCTTGCAGTGCAAAGGACACTCAAGAGTCTTCTCCAACACCACAGATCAAAAGCAACAATTCTTTGGTGCTCAGCTTCCTTTATAGACCAACTCTCACATCCATACATGACTATTGGGAAGAGAACATTATAACCTGAAATATTCAGAGGAAAAAACTGAAGCAAATGTGGACAGCAACTTGAAGGTTCTCCCACCTCAGAGATGGAGAATACAGGGCAATAGGAATGAGACTTGGCTGAGGCAACTACTAGAATAATCTTCCCCAGATTTTGCGAAGCAACTAGCAGTAGAGACCTCTGCTTCCTGGTAAGGGCAGTGAGTGCAAGTAACTGGGCCACGAGGCAGCGCACTGCAGTGCCTATGGTAGCAATGTGGTCGTCCCTGGTCCCAGAAGACTGGACGCTAATATAGACCTTCCAGGCCGGCTTCCATAGTGTAGAGGTGATCATATTTGCCCCACTAATACATCCAGCAGCAAATTCAAACTCTCCTGAAATTCCTAGCAACAAGATGAGATATACAGATCTAGCGCTCACCTGTGGACTAACAGGGAACTTCAAAGATCAAGATGAACACCCAGCCCAAGAATTACAAAATATTTGAGAAAAATTCTAACATCACAACTGATAAACACTACATCTCACAAAAGACAGACATTAACACTTAAGGAAACAGGACTAATAGAGCAAACAGAACAGGCCATGTCTCTTCTCTCCCCTAAGTGAAGGTGAAGAGACTGGCTCCGAATGTCCTACAGCTATACCTGAGCCTTGGCCAGGAATTTCACGAGTCAAGAATTTGCCTCTTTTTCACTCTGATTCTATTGTGACAGTCTCCCTCATGGCAAAGGATGACTAAGGGTTTAGTCATCTAAATGGAAAAACAGTTACATACTGGATAAAAACACATGGCTTTAAATACCAAAATATTTTCCCAGCATACCAAACAAAGACTGTGTTATGTATGTTACAATGTTAATGCAACAAATGGTAGAAGTCAAAATGAAAAGCACTAAAAGGGACAAACAGTACTATTTCATATCAATACAAGAACAATTAACAAAGTACAAAGTAGCATTGAATTTTTATTTATCTCACATTGGACCTTGTAAAAATATAAAACAAAATCCAATAGAAACATTAGACTTCTCAGTTATGATGATAAATTTTCTCTTTCAATACCTAATGAAACAAGCAATAAATGGTATATACACACGCACGTGTGTGCGCACCCTTACACACACACTCCATCAACATTGGCCAAATAAGATTGGTGGCCAAGAAAATAACCAGAATTGTCTGTAGCAAATAGAGAAGTCCAACTTAGCTGAGCTCCTACTTTCAACCTCATCTCTCAGCAGCCTTCCTGATGAATTAATAAGATCCTGAAAATTCTTGCCATCAAACCTGGAATGATCCAACCTGAGTAAGAATCCTTATCTTTTGCCCCTTCTGACTAAGAAGCCATACATACAGGTCCTAGGGTTGTCAATGGGACTGACTCTAAAACAAAAGGGAAAATTTCAGAACTACCCACTAAACTGGGAAAACGTCCCAGAGAAGAGGAAATTCAAATGGATGATACACTTTGCAAAGATTGTTTTAAAGACCACTGACCAAAGACCTTCAGGAACATGTGCTGCACTGTGGTTAGTTTCGCAGTCATGTCCGACTGAGATCTCATGGACTGTAGCCCGCCAGGCTCCTCTGTCCATGGGGATTCTCCAGGCAAGAAAACTGGAGTGGGCTGCCACCATGCCCTCCTCCAGGGAATCTTCCCAACCCAGGGATCGAACCCAGGTCTCCCACATTGCAGGTGGATTGTTTACCGTCATATCCGTAGTTTAAAAAAAAGAAAGAAAGAAAATGTTTCTTTACCTTTCTGCCACAAGGGAGAAAATTCTCCAGAGGAATTATAGGGCTCAACAAGAGGATTGGAAGGGGCTTCTCA